GTATTAATTATGTTTGGATAATAATATAGTTGTATTAATTAATTGTGTGCTCAAGGTACTGTTGTAGAGGAAAAAACAAATAAAAGTGTCTGATTTATAACACTTGATGATTTCCATCCAGTCAACATTCCCACTTTTGATGATTTCATTGGTGTGATATCATGAACACAGAATGTGCTAGAAGCCCATACTAACAGCCCACCGGTTTTAACGATATGTAAGAGATGAAAATCCAAATTTCCTTATCTTCTGCAGTGCAATTCAGGACCATGGCCCTTCAAGAAAAAATAGTTCATGCATGGGAATTTTATCTTTGGATTTGAACCGCAACTTTAGAATCTGATAACAGAGGGAGCTCATGTTCAAACATGGGACATTTTTATGTTGTTGGCTTTTTACTCTAGAAACACCTTCACTACTTTGAAGCTATTGGCCATATGACTGGATATCATTTGGAAACAGAACAGTGAGTGAAATTTCAGTCTGAAGAAGAAGTGGCCTTGGAATTTATGTGTATTTAACCTGTGCTCCCCTGACCTGTTTCAGAGCCTTTTGTGAGCAAAATCTAGTCATTCGCCCATTATTTTAGGAAGATTGGTTTGGATGGACCCACCTCGTGAAAGGTAGAAGCAGAACTGTTTTGGCCCACCATCAATTTCCTATCCTGAGGGACAAAGTCACCTTCTGAAGACATCAGATCAAAGTTAAACCCAACAGTTTAGAGCCAAGACAACATATCCCTGGAGTGTTTTATCAGTGGGCACTCCCTATTAGAGCTACAACACAGTTCCCTTGCGGGCCTCCTCACTTCTCTCCAGGAAGAGGATGTGAATTATTTGATGGGGTGCTTGGCCAGCCCTTCTTCCTGACTGCAGAGAGGACCCACTTCTGCCTGCTGGCTGGGGGCCTGGTGAGTTTCCCTGAGCTGCGTTTGCTCTCTGCGTGTCCCTTTCTACTCAAAGGACACAGAGCTAGCTGTTTTCATTGCACTCCTAACACCTCTTCAACACAGCTTTTTTCTTCTTTCCCCCATAAGAAAGCTGATCCCCACCTTAGTACTGTCTCTCATGGTTCTGAACTGCAGTTGTGAAGAAAAGCTGTCATCGATACTCCGAATCTGAAGTTTTCACATCTTCATTTCCCTATGGGATTATGACTCTGCTGTTCACTCATTTAGTTTCAGAGGATTTGCGGGTGGGGGGTGGGGGTGGGGGGGGGAGGAAACATAATAGCTTGTATTTAATCTTCCATGTTTAACCTGCTAATCCTGTCAATAAGATTTAAATTCTTATGGAATAAGCACATTAAGCAAAACCAGGCATTGAGTAAGCATTGATGAGTAACAGCTAATTAAGTGGTAGCCGTGTACAGCGGTAGTTGTGCACTTTTTAAAGCTCACTCTATGAACTGCATGATTCAAATGGCAGTACGGAAATGACTTCATTGAAACCAGTTTAGGTGTTGCTGCCAAAGGTTCCTATTTCTAGACATAAGTCGGGAATCATTGCTTTTATCCAAATGCTCTGGGTGATTGCTGTGTAATGACCATTTTCACAGGAAAAAAGACCATTAAATGACAGGATAGTAAAAATAAAAAAGGGGAAATCCTTTCATGGCATATACATCCATCAATTCATTATGTTGCACACCTTTACTATCCTACAATTTTAATTGTTAATTCTATCTCAATAAGGATGAAAAGAAATTAGAAGAAACAAGATGTGGCCTGGAAGTGAATGATTAAATGTAAAGGCAGAGAGTAATTTTTGTGAGAATTCTGAACAACAAAATCAAAGTGCTAGCTCTGGAGACAGAGTGGCAGTGGGAGTATCCTCCCTCCCCTTCCAGCCCAGTGGTTCTCAAATGCTGGGACGCATCGGAATCACCGGAGCACACTTCTGAAACTCACATTGCTGGCCCAAACCATGCTGTCTGGGAGTCTGCATTCCTAACAAGTTTCCAGGTGGCGACATATGTGGTTAGGGAAGCGTGCTCTCAGAAACTTGCCTCCGATTCTGGCACACAAATCTTAGCTTTTGTTGGTCCGCAGACATGAGAATTGGGAACATATGGATTTAAAGGAGGAAGAAATAATGAAGATGACATTTCAGTTAGCAACCACTGGCCATGTAGCAGGGATGCGTTTCTTCCATGCACACCTTCATCAAACATGTTTCCAACGAATATAAATAACAAGCACATATCATTGTTATTATTGTGAATGCTTTTATACACCTTAAGTAATCTAATTCTCCAACAATACCCTGAGGGTAATAAATAAACTGTAATTACTCTCATTTTATAAATTGAAAAAACAAAACACTAAATCTAAATGAGTCTATGGTTTTCCAAGTTCACACAGATAAAAAGTTCCAGAGCAAACACATTACCCAGGTTTTCTCATTCCTAGTTCAGTGTCCTTTCTACAACTTTACTGTGGTTTGTAAATAAGGCAAACACCAGAAATTAGAGGGTGCTCACATGTGTAGCTCAGAGAGTACCAGTGTATAAAAGCAATGATCCCTTGTGGAAAAGCTGACATCAGGATGAGAGGAGGGAGAGAGCCACTCCTCTCAGACATATACTTTTAGGGGCTGTCAGAAAGCACAGTAATCAGAAAATAATAATCCTAGCTAATAAAAGGGTAATATGCAAATTAACTGTCACTCTGTCACAAAGATGTGGCACCCAGTCCCAGGGGGAGGAGGAGGGAGGGTCGGATGCGGAGAGCGGGCAGCATGAGCAACCTGGTGGAAAGCTTGTTTCATCGCCATAGCAACAAGCCAAGCGTTCCACCCTCGCTGTGTAGAGCCTCCCGAGCCCAGCTGAGGATGGACCTCTGGCCAGGCATGGAATGCTTGCATCTTTGCACTGGCAATGAGGCAAGCACTCCATGCTCAGCCACTAATAGGCCTCTGGGCCGTGGAGAGCCTCTGGGCAGCGGGTGCAGAGCAGCCAGGCCCCGCAGAGAGCTACTGGGGCACAGATTTGTGCACAAGGCTCCTAGTATCATATAACATTTAAACTCAAAATCAATGCAAAAATCAATGAGAAATTTTTTCATTGAAATGGGTCATTTGTTGGTTTTAACAACTAGAGTGATGATGCAATGGAAAGTCACTTGAGCTTGTGCTAGTGTTCCAGGGGAACACTTCAAATTAGCCCATGATCCCTGGAGCAGGCCAGCAGGGTTATTGCATCAATAATGGGGTACAAACAGATTGCACAAGCACTGTGGGTCTTTATGTAGGTGTGTCTGTTAATGGTAGGGGTCATTTGGCTTTAAAATATAGGAGGATTGATAAAAGTTTAGGAGGCATACACTTTTTCCTTTTACTTCATTCTACATGTCTTAGCAAGACAGTGCCCAAGTGGTTAATCCTCCTTCCCCCCACATCCTTTAATTCTCTGTTCTATCATTTTCTAATTTTCTTGTGTGTGTCATTAAAAGGTTAATTTAAAAATATATATTTCTATTGTTTATTTTTAATTACAGTTTACTCTCAGAATAATTTTGTTTTGGTTTCAGGTGTACAGCATAGTGTTTGGATAATCATACACTTTACAAAGGGTTCCCCTGATATTTCCAGTACCCACCTGGCCTCATACATAGTTGTGGCAGTATTATTGACTGTATTAAGAGGTTCATTCTTTCTCTTTTTAAATCTCCATCTGAGAATATGTTTTTTCCCCATGGATTTTTAGAGAATGGGGAAGGGAAAGGGAAAGACAAAGAGAAACATTGATGTGAGAAAAACACATAGATTGTTTGCATCCTGCACAAGCCCCTAACAGAGCCCAGGCCAGGGATGAGCCAGCAACTGAGGTACATGCCCTTGACTAGAATCAAATCTGAGACCCTTCAATGCTCTTTCCACTGAGCCAAACTGGCTAGGGCAAGGGGTTCGTTCTTGATAAAATAAGAAAGAACATTTGGAGTTTCCATTTAGATCTGAATAAGAAGAAAAAGGATGGAAAACTATCTCTAATGTGAAAGAAAGAGTTTGGTTACATATCCACTTTGATAATGTCAGTCTCAGGGTCAAGTAATGGCTTCAGCAGCTGATTTGACTCAGCTCAGCAGTGGCCATTTGGCCATTCAGGTTCACAGTTTCCGAAGCTAACTGAGGAAGGGAAGTGGCTACCGGGAGACATCTCAGGCACCAGGGGTGTGAGATATAAAACTGTTTTCACATATGCTAACTTGGCTCATAGAACTGATAACAGTCCTGCATTTCATGTCTGTAGATTTAAAATCTTTATTTCTGCAAGTAGCTTGTCTATTACTCACTGAGTTCACTTGTAGACATCGTCTATTTTAACATAAATGACTTTGACAGGAGAACCTGCAAGAGGTTTTTTTTTAATTCTCCGAGAACATCCCCACCCCCTTCTACTCTTCAGTTTTGTATATAATCAACGTAATTGCAACTGTCATTGCTAGTGTCACTTGAATGAGGAAAATAATTTTCTGGGGTGATTTTTAATAATGCGGATTCCAGCCTCCGCCCCTCGATATTAATTCTGCAGGCCTGGGATCAAGGCCAGTTATTTACATTTTTAAGAAGCACTCTGATGATTGTAATATAGATGGAGTCATGCTCCCTGGAGAGCAGGCTCTGCCTCGAAGATTGGCTTGTACACAATTTGTTGGGAAATGTACCTCGGGATGGGTTCCTGTGGTGAAGGGGTGAGAGGGTCCACAGAGGAGATGCTCATGGCCTCGGCCACCCTGGGAGGCTCTGGAGCTGTGATGGTTCTCCAGAGATGGCGGAATTGGAATAATCAAACAGCTTGGACCTTTTCCCCTCACCCTCACCAAGCAATCACTGCATACAGGCTGCTGTAGGGAAGGAGGCTGGATGCTGGACAAGGCTGGGAAGCTCTTAGAAAGGCAACTGAGAGTGAGTTGAGCAGATACAACATCCAGGCTACCACACTGCCTGGCCAGGTGTCAGGTGAGGCCACAGAGCAAGTGTCAGCCAGTGGCCTGTGGCCAGAGTCATGTGCTCACATCTAAGCCAAATAGTTTCAGAGCAGGCAGGTGATCCTTTCCCTATCTCTTCTGACCCACAAATAAGGAGACCACGTATTCCAAATAGTGCACTTACAGTATTGTGTGGTTGCCATGATCTTGAGTTCCCCAGTGCCCATGTAGAATCAATCCCCTGAGCTGACCTGCAATGGAAATGGAACATGAACTATAAGAATCTAAGTGGTTTTCAGCTACTGGGATTTCAGCACTGGTATGATCTAGACTAACCTTCCTAACAACAGCCAAAGTTCAGTTGCACAGTGAATTGCATGGGATCAGGATTATCTGGTGATATTTATAATTAGACTGAAACTATACCTAAAGGCTTTTACCAAGTTCAGAGTTGGAAGAAATAATATCTTGGGAAAGCAGATAACAATTCCCAGATTGCAAGGGGGATCTGTCACCTATCTTATCTGATTGGACAGCACTTTAATTGTGTGACCCCCCTCTGCCATTTACTATAAAAAAGATAAAGCATTCACCTCTATTATACTCAAGACATGGTAAAAAGAAACCATATCATTGTTTTGCCCTGTACAAAAGGTTAATACATTTTTAAAGCATAGAATTTTCCCTGGTGATAAAAGGGAAAGAGACTTTCCAACCGTTCGCTCAGAGAATTTTCTTTAGAAAATGTGTAGTAACTGTAAATTCTTTCTCCATCCCTTGAAGGTGCATGTAACCCTTTTCAGAAAGCTAAATAAGCCTCTTGCTTGTTTTATAGCCCAGGAATGCTTTTCCTTATGGACCTTGGAGCCATCTCTTTGAAATGTAAACATCAAGGAAGACATAGCCCCATTCTGCCTGTCTCTGTGGGGACTCAACTAGGCCCCTGGTTCCAAGTCCCAAGGACTTGCTTTCCATAGATATGGGAGACATTTCATTTTTCCTTTGGGTAAAAACAAGCAGGTAACACAGGTAGCAATTGCCAGGTGAACCTAGAATGAACTATGTGTACCTAGTGGTGCTGTCCATTTGTCATACTTGATGATAACGTCATTTATCTTGAGAATATGTTTGTAATGGGTTGTACCTGTCTGGCTATATAAAAGGATGAAATTACTTTCTGTATTTGCAATCTCTTTATCAGATTTCCTGTTGTGTGTATCACAGTCTAGTTTAATGGTTATTCGAAAATAAAATGGTTTAATTCTTTTTTACCTTTGTAGATGGGATTACTGGGTTGGAAGGTTTCTTTTTATTTGTTTTCCCCAACATCTATAATATAAATTGTTGTAGGAAATAAAAATGGCTCCTGATCAATTATACCAAAATGAATTAATCATCGTTTTGTACATCCTCCAACATTTAGCTAGCATAGCCAGCAACCCTGTAAATCAAGTGATCACATTTAATTACATAGAGCTTGACTGTGCGCCTGGACTGCCTTGAGAGAGTTCTCAGACTATCTGATTGGCTCTAATTTAAATAGTCAATGAGTACTTCAATGAGATGACCTGTCTAGTGATGACAGGTAATTAATATCAACCTACGTTACACTTTTTCAGATAAAGTATTTTGTGTTTGTGTTTCAAAGTATAGAAATCCAAGACTTTGATTATCCAGTCTGTACTGAGTCTATATTGTATGGGTAGTCATGCCAGATTGGGGGGGAGAAGGCAATTTTAGGATTATCTGTGAGCCTTTGCTTCACTTCCTTGAACAGTAAGGTGGCCCTCTATTCAGGTGTAAGTTTTCAAAAATAGGCAGAGGCTTATTTACCAGTCTGTTCTGATCATCTTCTATTCACCCCATCTGTGAAGGAGTGACCCCAAACTCTAAATAATATGAGATAGACAAACTTACAACATTTGACTTTGGACAGATGAGATTGGTAGTGGCTTATTCATCAGACAGCCTCACAGCCCAGAAAGAAGGGCACACCTACTATCCAGGGCCGGGGGGTTATACTTGGGAGCAAAATGAATCAGCACAGGCTGGGGAGTCAGGCTTTGTAATAAAAAGAGGTGGTAACCTTTGGTTCCCTCTGGAGGTTAAAATTGGTTGGTTTAAATAACCTTGTGAGCAAAACGGGGCGTGAAACCCATTTGGATGAAGACTGGGTGAGATGCGGGTGGTCCAGCTGCTGGGAAAGTAGCTGCCGAGTGGGGAGCAGATCAGGGGATAGTAGGGGACTCTTAGCTAAGCCTTTTGGGCTCTGTGAGGCTCAAAGTTGCCACAGCAGCACTTAAAATTAGATTTTACAATACACAGTCCTAAGTAGAGCATTTGGATTTGTCCTCAATAAGGAAATAAGTAATTTGAATAGCTGGCATATCTCAAAGAATGTAATTGAAATCATGGTTATGATACATACTGTTAATCTGGAATCTTTTTTTTAATTTTTGTTGCTTATCTTATCATATATATTAATTTAAACAGTAAAATAAGTAAGTGCACATATTCGGATATTTATACAGTATACCTATGCACATATATACCAAAATGAATACAATTTTTAAAAATATATTTTATTGATTTTGTTACAAGGAGAAGGATAGAGAGTTAGAAACATCAATGAGAGCGAAACATCCATCAGCTGCCTGATGAACACTCCCTACTGGGTATGTGCCTGCAACCAAGGTACATGCCCTTGACCGGAATTGAACCTGGGACTCAAAATGAATACAATTTTAAACACTCCTAGGAACATAGCAACATGACTTTAGTGCTATTTAATTCTAATTGGGAATTAAAACAAATAGTAGTAGTTACATAATTCTTGGTCAAATACTTTTGAAAAGTTATCTAGGTCAAGCAAATTATGATTTTTCTCTTGAGTATTTGCAAAATTTCAGTATTATTGCAAAATGATTACAATAAAAATATAGGGTGGGGCAAAAGTACATTTATAGTTATGACTTTATTAATAAATACAGTTTATTCTTGTATTATTACTTATTCATTATTGCATTATTTTCCATATGAATGACTGTAAAACCTACTTTTGCCCCACAATGAATAATGAAGAAAGCTAATCAGAGAGTTAATATGGGAGAAGCATGTTTCAAATTTAAATGGTTTTAAAGCCACACTCATGTTCATTATTATATATAAAAAAGGGGCTCATGTTCAAAACACTATTTTGGTTTTGATAACATTTTTAACTATAATAATTACTTTAAAAATCATTATGTTATGCCAAGAGAAACATTTGTTCAAATATAAAAATTATTGTAAAATGTGTGTATATACTTTTAAAAAATGTACAGTAATAGTGCAACTTAGACAATATAAATGTAAAAAGTTATTTGCATTAAAAAACATTAGCAACGTTTTATAGTGAGATAAGTAATTATATGTTGGGCTTCATGAAAGAAAATTTTGCTAAGATTCCACTAAGAAATATAAGAACAAATTGAATAATTTACCTTTTTGATAGAGATTTTCTTCTTTGTTCCAGTAGTCATGGGAGCACCTGTTCTATAATATACAAAATGTAAGCTGAATTAATCAAGCAGATGTCTATTTGGAAAGCAATATGTCAAATTTATAGCAAAATCCTAAACTCAATTAGAGGAAAAATTAAATTCCTTTTCCTGAAAACTAATAAAAAAAAAACAACCTAGTTGCATGATTTAAGAAAAAACAGAAGAGTGAATATGAAAGCATAAAAGGAAATTATGTCATATAAACAGAGTGCAGATCTTGGCCACAGCAGCCGAATTCCAGCCTGATGATATATTCATTTTGGCAAGTCGTAGCATGTTTTGGTTACATATGTTGGGTTCAGAATATCCTTGTGTATGCTATCAAGAACTAGAAAAGTTTTGGGAATGGAAATTAACTAAATTAAGAAATCCAGTGTAATTGGTATTTTATAAGAATAATACAAAGCTTAAACAAAATATAAGTAAATGTATTAATATGAATAACATGGTATAATACTACTCATTGTAGAAGGCCATAAATTTATGAATTACATATAAATAAGAATGAGGTAAAAAAAAAAAATCAAGTTGAATGTGGATAGTGCAGTAATATGCCCTGTATCACACAGTACTCCTTCTCTGATTGAGGTCATTTTATTTCGCATATATCCCAGCTTGTAAGGAGCCTGTGGGTGACAATGAAGAAAGACCTATTCCTGTGGTCTAATCATTGCTGACAATAAGTGGGTGAAAAAGATGCAGGCAGGAAAGTCTCAAGTCCTCAGAACTGTGAATTTTGGAAGTATTTTTCACCAAAGACAAAAAAAGAAAAGATAAGATAGTTGGATATTAGAATAGGAGGAAGAAAATATATTTCATTATGTACAGGAAGATTAAGAGATAGCATGTAATTAATCAAACTTTTAAAAAATTAAAGAAACTAACAAAGAAGTCTCTGATTAGAAGTCTAATTCATTGTAGTATAAAATTTCTCCTAACTCAATAACAGCATCAGCATCTATTTTTGGAAATCAAAACACAGGGTTCTAACATACATTTTTAATGGCGCACTTCCTCCCAGGATCCTCTGTAATTTGAAACAGAGCAAGGGAATTTCTATCTTCAATGGCAACTCACCTTTTTAAATACTTATCACCACAGTTGATTTGTTATAACAGACATTGCACAGACATGACATTTTAAAATGGTTTACTATGAGAGTATCAATTGCAAATCCAACTCTTATCTGGTGGTATTATTTGCCCAGATCTGCTACTTCTCTTGTACACACACACACACACACACACACACACACACACACGAAAGTGCGTGTATATATAATATAAAAGCATATGACTCCACAACTATACATATATATAATCCTATAAAATAAAGAGGTAATATGCAAAAGGTTGTTATGCTGTGACATGTAATGATCAAACAGCAGGAGGGCAGAGCGGTGAGCTATGAGCCCCAGAGAGCTATAGGAGGGCGGAGCAGTGAGCTACATTCAGCCGAGAGCTAGGAGTGGTTGTGGGCCCCACAGTCAGCTGAGGCAAGTGGCAGCGAGCTACTCACCACTAGTATGTATATATTCCAAATATATATACAGATGTCGTGTATATATATATATATCCCGAGTGAGCTTGCTGCAACCTCAGCTGTGGAGAGACCACGGGCTCTTACATTCTCCCATTGTTCTCACTTGGTAAATGAGCTCAAGCCTCTCGGGATTGTTTCTTAGACAACACCTTCGACTGAGATGCCACGGCCTAACTGTAACTTATTTTTACCAGGTAATGAGTCGGGAGGTTATTTTTCCCTTCCAGGCTGTAATTTTTAAAATCAAAGGGTATCGCTTTCATTTTATGTGCCCTGTGAGCAGCAAAGTACCAGGTACACACATTTAAATGGATAGTTAAAGGGAGGGGGAGAGAATGGAAGCAAAGACGCAGGACAGAAGGCTTCAGGTGATCTTTTGCTCTTGTCCCAGGAGCATGAGAGAAATGTTCAGTAGTCGCTGGACCGGGATAAAATCCAACCTTGAGGAAGAGTAACGATAGCTGGAACCTTTCCAATAATTCCAGAATTTTCTTCAGTCTCCCATGATGCAGAAGACATAGATCAGGGCCAATAAGTACCCCCATTGACTGAAAAAGAAACTAAGCTATTTAGGAAAAAAATGGTTCTGCCAGGATCCAGCCCAACATATACTTGCAGCTCCCTATTCCTCAAACTTCTCTTCCAACTCTCTATCCCCTTTGTTTACATTTATTTCCCTCCTCACCAGGACCTTAGATTCAGAGAAGTGATGGTGCAAATGAATAAAGCAAACTCCAAAGCAAATCCTCACTCAGTTCTCTAGTTCCAAATGAGGGAACCGTCCTCCTGGAGGAGTTAATATCTGCCTCGCTCAATGCTAATCACTTTTATTCCTACTTTAAAAATTCAAACTAAAAGCAAAAACAGAAATAGAAAGCAGGCATACAGGTTACAAACCAAGGCAAGAATGTGGTATGTGTGTAAGACACAGATTTGATTAAGTCATAATAAAATAGTGGACTGGACTCAGGAACATCAAATGTCACACTCGTGAGAGCCACCAGTGCGGGGTGGCCATTCTGTTAGCAGTGATTTCAGTCACACCGGAATGTGGTCTTGGACTTCAATCAGCTGTGGAAGCAAAGGGCTGAAGTAAGAGCTCTTAGGTCCTGTTCCACGTGATTTTCTTCCAGGACCAATGATCAGAAAAACTAGTAAACCTCTGGCCAGTGGCTCAGTTGGTTGGAGCATCATCCTCTCCTACACATCAAAAAGTTTTGGGGTCCTAACCAGTTTAGCTCAGTAGATAGAGCATTGGCCTGTGGACGGAAGGTCCCGGGTTCGATTCCAGTCAAGGGCATGTATCCTGGTTATGGGCATATTCCCAGTATGGGGTGTGCAGGAAGTAGCTGGTTGATGTTTCTCTCTCATCGATGTTTCTGGCTCTCTATCCCTCTCCCTTCCTCTCTGTAAAAATTCAATTAAAAAAAATTATGGGAATGGGTTCCATTTCCAATTGAGGAACATCCAAGGGGAAACTAATTGATGTTTGTTTCTCACATCCAATTTCTTTCTTTCTCTGTCTGTGTGTCTCTGCCTCTCCCTAAAAAAATCAAACAAACAACAACAAAAAACACCAAAAACAAAAACAAACAAACATAAACTCAGGTGAATTAAAAATAAAAAAAATGAAACCCAGTAGAGTGATAATGAAAATGTAGACTTTTTGGTTTTGTCTTTGTATAAAAACTGGTGCAAATTGGTTTTTTTTTTTTTTTTTTTATCAATTAAATTATTTGGTATACTGTGTAGTTACAAGGAGGTGTATTCACCTGCTTGATTAATCCAGTTTCTCACCAAACACTGACTGATTACATGCACAAGAAATTTGTTGCTTGGGATCCTAAGGAATAAAGCAGATATGTAAATGGCATTTTCTTCCAGCTCTCAGGCTATGATATATGAATGTAAGAAGTTACAATACACTTCTGAATAATGTATACAGGAATAGAGACTACTTATAATGCTAGATCTCTACACTAGAGAGAGTCAGGTTTGAGGCACAGGGGAATGCAAAGGAGGAGACTGTATTTTCAGTTTAGAAATGTAAATTAAAGTTCATGTTAAATGTGACATTTGAGCTAGAGAGAAGGAAGAGTTTGCATTACAGTTTAAGCAAAAGAAAAACAGATATCCCAGACAAAAAGGACAGCAGGAGTAAAAGCACACAGACGGAAATTTTACTTTCAATTCTAAATAGCTTAAAGTTCAGTAGGATCAGTGTCTGTGCTGTATAATTGAAAATAATGAGAAAACCATTTAAATGGGTTTTTGAGTTCAGAGTACAGCACACAAGAACAAATAATATATATGGGCATCATTCTATAAACAATGGGGAGACATTAAATATTTTTGAACAAGGAAATGGTATAATAAGTCATGCTCTTCAGGAAGTTAATCTGGCAGCCAGCTCTGGGAACGTAGACTTAGAATAGGAAAAGGTGGAGACAGAGCGGACAGTGGGAAGAAGGCTACTGTGCTCACCCCCTCAGCCTCCCCCACCGAATTTTGCAAGGAAGAAGGAGAATCTCTGGGAGATGAATGAGAGACATTGTGGATGTTAACCAGATGATATTTTACAAGTGAATGGAGGTGGGACTAAAAGAGAAAAATAGTCAAAATGATAATTAACTAACAATTAAATTGATGCCCAAAAGTACTTTTTTTTTTTTTAAGAAGTAACAAATTCTATCAAAAGAACTGTGATGTTCCTGAGAGATAAAAGTGATGTATTATGCCACTGTGAAGTTGATACAAGGGTCATATTTGATCTTTTAAAATTAATTGTTGCTTTTGAACAAGGATTTAAAAGCCTTAATTGCAGTGTTTTGTCATCTGACTTTATTTTTTATTAAATTTGTTGGGGTGACATTAGTTAATAGGGCTCATATAGGTTTCAAGTGTACATTTCTATGATACAGAATCTGTATATTGTATTGTGTGACCACCATCCACAGTCAAATAATCAAATCATCACTTAACTTTCCAAGGACATCTTTCTGCATAAATTTCCTTAAGACTGGATGGAATGGTATGAGGAAAAAAAGGTAGATTTCCCCTCTTCTTCATATAGAAGTTCTAAATCCCAAAAATGTACCCAAAGGTCTCCTTGATAGAGATACTGTTCAGTTCTCTCTATTTGTTTTCATGTTTGGGTCTGTCACCTCAATAGCTTAATAATAGGTGAAGATCCAGTCTGTGTATGAGTGAAAGTTAACCTTTGGGAAGCATGCAGAATACTATGGCTTTTCTGTTTACCCCAAATCCTTTTCTCCCACATGCTTGTGTCAACTGCTACCCCCACCATGTGATCTCATACAGTCAGTCCCCTGACCACCAGGCCCCTATCCTCCTTCCCTACAGAGTTGTCTGTCCTAGGAGTACAGGTCTCCATCACGTGTCCATAGCTCCTCCAGACCTCTGGGGCCTGGCTTCCTGCAGGTGAGAACT